ATGCCATTTCAAAATAGTTCACTTTCTGGAAACTAAACTTAACCGGACTAAAAATTAGTCTCTTAACTGCGAAATTCGTTGGTGGTCAGTTTCAAAAGACATGTGTAATCATGGCGGTAACTCCCAGAGTGTATACGCTCAGGTTTGGCGTGAAGTCAGACTCCTAAAAATTTGTTGACGAAAGAAATGCAGGGGGAAAAGGCGAAAAGATTGTCCTCTAAAGCTTATTCTTTTGTTAAAAACATCTGACCACGACGTAATTGAGGGAATTACAGGACAAATTCAGAATATTCGACCGATGAATGGTAGAAAAAAAAACATGATATGGAAATTTGGTAATCATAACAAATTTAAACCCAGTTCATAGTCTGTTGGCGCCTTAGGCAGGCGTTTCGAATTGAGAATGTGCTTTAGATTGGACTCGAGGTTTTCGACCGAGCACGGCGTGACCCTTTTGAGTCGCTCAATCGGATACGTAACCCGCATACAAAACGAGTGAACATAGTCTCATAAACCACACCCAGACCATCAAACCCTAGCGCATCCTGACACCATTACTTAAATGCTACCTCAAAAATCTGCCGTTGTGTGTAAGTTGGCGGTGGGAAACTTCCACAAACACAACAGCACAAGTCGATTGTGCAATTTAGTAAACCGTGTTATCTCTCAACCTCCTCGAATATTCGGAATCTAATCACACCTCAGATCAGTAAATTGCTTAAGCGTGATAGTGGACTCGATTCCCGCAAGGTCATAGTCAATAAGTTAACTCAAACTCGTCGAAAGATTTCATTGAAAACAAATATTCTTGGGTTGAGATAGGGGTTCGAACGCTGTGCGATTAAGTGCCGGATGAGTTGACTGAATTCCAAAAGAATTATCGCTTCTTGATTACCGCAATCACAGACACAAGGTAAACTTGCCATACTCTACTGCCAGGGATAAGTGGTAACTCTTTTTATAAATTTGACAGGGTCTTCATTTTTCGCAAAAAAAAAGGATTTGCATGAGGTGGGACTGTGAAGGGACAATCCATTATAAAGTGCATTCGCTGAATCACTCAGTCGACCAACACTTCTACGCTTCCCAAATCACCAATTTGAAGTTGGCCGTTCAACATAAGCTATCCTTACACGATATCGCTCCTTTTGTAGCTCTTCTATGAGCTTTTTATGCACGCTTTCTGTGAGTGGGAACCTGTTCCTTCAAATAAATGGGTGGTTCGACATCAGATGATAATTAATGACATGGAAATGGAGACAGACTGGGTTGTAAGTTGAGGAGAAACATCAAGGGACAGTGCAGTGTAAGCAAACGTCACCACATATATTTAATGCAAAAGATGTGTCAGATGGAATTCAGTTCACGTTCATTGACAAAGTAGTGATGTTGGATTTGGATGTGAACACAAATCGGCAGATCTTCGTCAGCAGTCGTTCAAAGTGAAAGAGACTGTAATGTGGCGTTAGAAGAAGTGTTAGTGAGGGTGAGCAGGAGTAGATAGTGGTGAATGCGATGTAGGAGGGGTAGGCAGAGGTTGAGGAGGTGAGTGAGCTAGCGATTTCCATGTGGAACCACTACGTAAACATCACTGTATAGGGGAAGCGAAATGAGACAAGCAAGTGTACGAAGCAGTCCAAGCCTCTGGCCGGCAATTACTGTGCTTCATTCCACACACACTATTTACTTCTGTCTCACTTAAATACACTGGCTCCCCGTGGTGGCGATAACTCACTCAAAATCGTGTTGGATTTCAATCCGAATAATTGCACAGTCGAGCCAGTGGGGACTTATTATTAAAACAGTGTGAGAAAGGTAGCATACGATTAAAAGGCTCACAGGGAACGGTTACCAACAGATTGGTCTGTTTCAACTAACCTATTCCAAAACAGTCCACTTAATTCTGAGGCTCTTTCTTTAGTCCAACCGGTGTCAGGTAGCTGGGTAAAGTAACAAAAATAACTCATTCATCATACGTGACATTTACAGTCACACGGATAACAAAAATTAATTTGTAAACTGTTTACGCAGTAATGGATTAACAAACTGTAAAGTTTCCACAAGGACGTTTCAAAGGACACATGTCAATTTTTTGACTTTTCTGTAAAAACAAGCGTTGTTTTATTCGTGATCATTAACTCAAGTTCAATTTGTACATAAAATAAACAGATAATCATTTCTAATTTATTTTATTTAATTGAGGCTCAATAAGAGATATGTGAAATTAATGGTGGTACTAATTTTTGAGAAAACGCACACCAAATAATAGGTTTCTGGCGAGCACCAGGCAAGCACATTTAGTAGTCGCGAGCGAACGCATTTAGCAAGCGTGAGCGAACATGAATCAATTGGTTTACGTGACCCGCGCGTTATCTGCATTCCTTCTCTTTCTTCGGACGGACTTTCTCGTCGCAGATTGTCGACCCTGATGTGGTTTCCAAAATCGCACCGGGGCCTGCTACAAAATGTTGACCCCGCTTTTGAAAACTTTTGGCATTCTACAGGCAAAAATCAAAGTTTTGCTTAGAAGCCAATGAATCGCTCTGACTCGTTTCATCTAGCTCATTTTTGACCATTCGGTAAGCTCAACCCGACTTCCGATTCACTCTTGCGCGCTTTGATGCAGATCTCAACCGACTCTCGCCTTGTCCTTTAACATCTGACTGACTCGACTCCTAATTTTCGATCTCGTCAACCCCAGAGAGCGAATGTACAATTAACTGCATTACACCGCCGACTGACCTTTCGTTAGAACAAAAGGTCCATTGCTTCGATTTGACTCGTTTGTCACAACTGCGTTCTCGACTTTGAACGTGCATCGATCTTCTAGGACCTACCAATGGGCAATTTTCCGCTACGACTTCAATGGTGTCATTATTAGGCGTCTCATATCTCACGGAAAAGCCACCCCTCAAGCAATTCTGTCATCCTTAGAATCTTAACGTGTGACCGCTACACTTCTACATCGCCCGACTCTAGGTCCCGTGTCTGTCCGTCGCTCAACCTATACACTCACCTTACTCAACCTGGCTTCGTTCCCCAAATCTTGCTACGCGGGAACGACGATTGGATCGTCCTACGGCCTACCTTTCAGATACCTTTCTGATGGAAAATGTTGCACCATCGACCTCCTCAATATATTTTGACCTTTTTACCAAGAGGAAGAGCTGTGGCGAGCAGCAAGCGAACACAGCGATCGCGAGGGAACATGATTTAATTGGTTTACGCAAATGCACTTCAAGGATAGATGTTTAGCAGGGCTATATAAACTGAAGCGTTATCTTGTACACCGACACACATCATCAATAATATTGTAAAAAATTTGTTGAGCTATGCGCTATCTGCATTCCTTCTCTTTCTTTGGAAGCGTCTTCTCGACGCAGACCTTTGGCCCTAGTGCGGTTCCCGAAACCGTAACGGGGCCTCAGTAGGTTTAAACATTTCGCAATCATCAATTTGGCTGAAGTAAAACATGAGTGTTATGAACTGCCCGCAAAGAACATAGACTATTAGCTAACATGTCCGCTGTCATCCGAATTCGAAACCAATCAAAGGGGAACAACCGGAACCGATAAATCGTTAAGGGATTTAGTTTTTTTAGGACAAAGAATGGCTTCACGAAAAATAAGCAAAAATAAGTTACGACGTTATCCACATGCTCCTAACCATTCAGTGCGAAAGTTCCACTTGTGTCGGAGTTAGCAAATTAATAATGCTTTTGACAACCTAAAAGTGCGCAGTGAGGATGAAATTTTGAATGTGATAAAGGTCTGGCAAAGGGTCGTTAGACAACGAAGTCAAAACTAAATACGATTTCTCCCTTGTAAAGGCAATTTACTTTCACATTGCACTAGTATTTCGTTGTAGTTTTATTGTATATCCTTCACCTTAAACGTTGCTTTAGTGCGCATATAAGGATGAGTTGAATCGAAAAATTTGACCAGCTATCTACTGATTGCATCTTTAAACCTTCATTGAGCATATTACATTCACAAATAATCAGTGCGACGAAAATGCAACCTCATTTTGACATTCAGGAGCCACAATTGACGCCGACACTGATATGTCCGTTTGCATAGTTAATTTTTTCATCCTTAGAAATAACCTGTTTGGCTCTGTGATGCCATCGGGTGCAAGCGAAGTCCCGTGATGACAAACACAATTAAGTCCTAATAGGTCACATGACCCTCATGGTGTCACTTTGCCATCTGGCAACATCGAAAGGCTGAATAATTTGCTTCAAAGCAATCGCCAATGCATCTCGACTGTCTACGATAATCACAGCACTAAGTGATGTGTCACTGCATCCTCAATCTTGACACAGCGATCGTCAGAGTGCTGGCCGTGAAAGCCATGTGGAGGGAACTTGAGTCACTTGAGGGGGTTAGGAAAGGATTACGCCATTTCTGCTGGCTCGTTCTGTTAACTCTCTAAAATCGACTATTAGCAACCAACATGATTACCAGTTATGAAAATGCTAACCATTATAACGGTCACACTAATTCCCAAATGCTTAACACCTACATGAACGAATCACAATTTCTGTACTCTAGTTAATTTACCCTATTCTATCCAAGAAGGGCTTGTGCCAATATGAACCGTATTTTGGTGTACATGAATGACCACAACGCATAGAGAAGCGCTTAGAGTTTGTGATAATTACGGTTTGTACAGTAACCGACCTCATGCCCAAAGGCAATGGTTCACAAGTGAAGCTGACCAGTTGTTCGGCCATGATACAATCCAAGTTCGATTTGAGCATACTAATCACCTTCCTTAGCAAGGGTTTAGACTGTAGTCACAAACGCCCAATTCTCTGAACATGTGCAAGAACGCAGTCGTAAATGAAAAGCTGGACAAAAAATTTACTTTTTAAGCTGGAGGTCACGTAACAGCTCCTTCATTGTTGACACAGCGTTCGGGTTTGGCAGCAGGATTTGTACTTATAATAGTGGAAAGAGTGGCAGAAGTCTTGGGAGCTACAAGGGACCATGGACCAGTCAATCGACTGGGCTTGATGCTCCCCTTCCGTGGTTAGCCAAGAAATGAGGCCGTGGCAATGGGTGTTTTTTGTGATTTTTTGGGGCCAAGCCCACTTTGAAACGCTCTTCCTCCATGGCCACTTTGTGGAAGTAGGCGAAATCGTCACTTGGCATCGACTGACTTGCAGTGGCATCCACATTCATGGTGCTCGATGAAATAGTTGGAGTCTTGCGCTCGACGACTGCGTACGTGTTTCGACGTCTTAAGAGTAAAGCGTGCCTTTGGTTTCCGGCAATCAACGCCCGTGACAACTCATTCTCAAAGCTCGTAGAGATGCTCCGCTTAACACCAGCTGCAACTGGTGTCTTTTTCGTCTGCCTTTGAGTCTTTGAGCACTCCACCATTTCTGGTGATTCTAAGGTGGTTCCACAGTTTGAAACCTCGTCCAAAGGGGCCAGGGTTCGATGGGCTTTAGTAGCACCCCTGAAGGAACTTCTATGGCCTAGCGATTCCACTACAGGTGCGTAACACGGCGGTGGTGAGTGAACTTCTATGTTAACAAACTTCTGGTGATAGTTCTGTGTAAATGAAGGCCCTGAGGAGGTGCGTGAACTCACCGCTGTTTCCTTGTTTGCACAAACTGGGGCTGCTCCTTGAAAAGGTGCTTCGCAGATAGTAACTTGAGGGGTTAAGGGGATTGGGCATAACAATGGCTGCCCAAACTTGATGCTAGAATGGCCTTTCTCGTGTTGCTTTGCCAGGTCAGTCATAAAAGAGCTCCTCGGCGTCTTTTCATAAGAGGAAGACGGAAGAAGACTGGTCCGCTTGGTGGAGCATTCCACGGAGCTTAGAGTTGGGCTTCCTCGATTCACAAATGTGATGCTTAATGGACTTAGGCTCTGTGCACCATGATCTTGTTTTTGGATACCAATTTGGCTTCGTATACCTTGATAGTCAGAGGGCTGTAAATCTGTCACAAGGTCCTTTTGCTCCGCACTAAAGTGGAATGATGTATTCTCACTTGCTGATCCCCTCTGAATGTGGCGATTTTGCTCACACGTTGAGGAATTCGGTGGTTCGGAAGCGTCGGACTTTGTTTTTCGGTCATAATGATTCTTGGCACGTCCATGCTGGTGGTGAAAGCCGGTTTGCACGAAAAACTGGAAGCCACAACAATAAAGACTGTAAACCGACGTACAGTGTTTTCGTGGCCCCGACGACTTGATGGGACTCTTCTCTGAAGTGAAGAGGTTAGGAAATCTGCGGAAAGTGCCACGGAACTGAGTTTGACTGTGACGACGAGCCCTTTGAAGGCGCACTACTATTCGCCTCCTAAGGAGGCGCATTGTTTCCGTCATGCATCCGTAGAGGCAGGGATTTAAGCAGCCCGAGCACATAGCAAGCAGTTTGAGAGTGAGGTCAATCAACTTCGCATGTCCACCAAAAAGCAGGTGCGACTGAGGAATTATGTCTGAGAGATTGTACCTCTTCTCCAAAGACCGTGAATGGTGAATGCTTTCCTCAGTCGCCCCGTGACCAAGTTCCACGAGGTGCTGATTTGTCAGAGCAGCAGGAAAGAACGGCAACTTCATGGCTACCGTCTCACTCATGTTGCCGTGCTCAGTCTCAAAAATAGGAAAGTCGTTGTTGGGGTTCCGCTTCTGAGTCCGATAGGCGTACACTTCTAGGATGATGGAGAAGACGTTCCATGGAGTCCAGCAGATGAAGAAGCAAATCACAATAGCTATTAAAATCTTGTTTGTTCGCTTCTTTCGTTCTAGGTCACGCTTTTGGAATCGGCGGCCGTGCAAACGAAAGTAGATTCTCATGTAGAGGGTTGCAGTGAGGAAGAGAGGTAGGAAGAATTGCACAGTGAAAGTGAAGATGGTGTAGCACAGGCGAACTTCCGGCGACGGCCACTGCTCCACACAGTAGTAGTATTCTATTGGTTTCCTTTCACCGTCTTCAAGTTTGGTGACGGCCTGACTACTCTTGCTGAAGACTGCAATCGGAACAACGCTGATGACACTGATAATGGCAATTGCCAGAAGTGTAAGGGAAGCCGTGTGTTTCGACATGCGTCGTTTCAGGGGGTAGACGATAATTCGATAGCGGTCGATGCCGATGACCAGGATAACCAGACATGAGATGTGCATTGGAAGACCGAATGTGGAGAAGACGAGTTGACAGGCAAGGCTAGAGAAGTATGCCCTCTCCTGCATCTCGTAGTAGGCCTGGATGGGCATGTTGAAGCCCGACATGAATATGTCCGAGACGGCTAGAGCAAGCACGAAGCGGTTGGTGATGTTGCGCAGGGACTTGGGGTGCCAGATTAGCAGGAAGAACACAACAGCGGCATTCGTGGATACCCCAATGAACGCAAACAGTGCGTAGAAAAAGATTAGACAGACACGTACCCAGACGATCCGATGTGAGCTGAAGTATGCGTCACCATAGAGGGAGAAGAGCAAGTCTTTAGGGAAATTGCTTCCGTTTTGCAGGCTGGGTAAGATCTCCGTGGTAAAGAGATTCGAAATGTCCACCATAATGATGACGAGTTAGACTGGTTGCAGATTAACCGACAAGATTTCTCTCACCATAATTTAATAGGAGACATTCCATCATCTCTAGGAGGCGGCAGTATCTTCTCTGAAAAAAATAATGCTTTTATTCATTTTATTACCTTGAGCGAATGCAGACTTAAAGAATGAAGATTGTCAGCAAAAGTAAATCCACAAATTTCAATAGTGTTTTCGATTCGAATTCATGACTTTGAGCCCTTTAATTGTGCTGAGGCAACAATGCTAACATTACAGGGAAAAACTGTATGAGCGCCACAAAAACCCAGCGTTTTAGTGTTTGCTTAAGTGAATGACATTGAAGACACACTTTGGGACGAAGAACTACCAGTTTTAGGCTATTCAATGCATCACGTAAGACAATGCGAGTCGCTTTAAGAAATCTTCTCCGCATTACACCCGCAACCTACAACTGATGCATGTTATTCAGTCAAAAAAACATTCATTTAGTGAAAACCTTTATAGTAAGATATCAAGCCCGCTAACATGCTGCAATGTCTGAAGTCATTTAACAATTAACTTAGGTTTTCATCGCAATAAAATTAGCCGGTTGTGAATCGCGTTGGTTCACGCTCGCTAATATCATCACCGCGGCCTCAGACACAGGGTCCCTCTGCCCACAGCGCCAACTCCCCCTCATTACAGCAAAGGATTATCTTCGATTATCATCACACCTAGGTCTCGATGTTAGCGCATGTATGACTCACACACCTGAGGTATACATACACACTCAAAAACGTCACACACGACACAACGACACCAATGTGGTTGAGCTTTGAAGTAAACGGTTGTGTCCACGTCCTCTCCCGTGGGTATCAGGGAAGCGTAATCGGGCCAGGGTTAACTCAGTGGCCCCGGCGTGGTTCAGGACCACAAAATGTCTAATAATTTAACCGTTTCCACTAGCTAGGTGTGCTGAACAGGATTGACGTTTTCGAAGAGCATGTTTTTAATGCAACTTTACTTGAGCTTAGCTCATTGTACTTAAAGTCATAATATTACACACTGTTCGTTCCAATCAGCAGGTATGGTCAGGTGCAGTTGGTCATGTTCCCAAATGACCAACTGAACCTGGCTATTAGAGGTACTCACGCAAACCATCCTTTTCCTATTGTCCGATTTTAAATAAACCAGTTTGCGGATTGCTGCTGTTGCACTAACTAGTGATTTCTTTGCCAAATTCCTCCAGTCATGCTAGCTTTACCTGCCACCTCCAAAGTAAGAGAAGATAAGCAGTGGAAACAAGAAAAAAAATTGGCAGCGCGCTGCGGAAAAGAACACGGCGATCCGATGTATTCTCTTGCCACCAGCTGTTCATTCTCTCACACCCACAAAATACTCAGCCTCGGGAATTTGAAGACAGATACTTGTTGCATTTGTGCGGATTAGTAGCAAACAATATTTAGGGAAAGAGGCACAAGAAGAAGCATTTAATTTAGGTAAATCCAACAATTACATGGTAGTGCCTTATCACAGTTGCCAAAAAGCCTTTTACACAAGAAAAGACTCACAGGAAAGTGGGGAATTTATGATTTCTACCCCGTAAAAATAAGGAGTTTCCTCAAGCATGTCGGATGTGTTAAACCTGACCATGGAACGCCTCACTGTTGCCTCTTCTTCACAACTCAACATACACATGGTTAAAGACCGCTAGAAAGATGTCTAATACATTTATGGATTGTGGTTAAAATCATTGTGCTGCTTAAATGTCTCAAAATTGTGACAAGACCTTGCCTGTTTTTCAGTAATGCACACAAATAACTACTAGGGCACAGCTTCCTGAGTTGCTAAACCACGGTAATAAACGGAATGCTCATGCAACTGGGTCGTCCCAGTTTGCCCACTTCCGTAACTACTAAAGGTCACTTGTTTGTACATCGTGAAGTCGTAAAAGTTAACGATAAAGCAGTTGAATTGCTACGCTTGGTCTGAGTAAATCATGCATTAAGAGGGCGTACAAGAACCATCTCCACTTTTGTTTCCAATCTTTGCCTGAGAAATGTCGGCGGGCCTAGTTAAAGTACTGGTTCGAAGTGTAAAGTGTTACTTTAAAAGCACTTGAGCTGGTTAGCCAGGTTTGTTTAGTGAAGTATCCAGCAAAATAAGCTAGGAAGGTAGCTCATAACGGCTTTCGGGTGTGGCTTTTCCCGATGCAGTTATTGATGTTATCTGTGATTTGTGAGAAGTGAAGACAGGTTTCGTGGCACCTGCTGATTCCTCAATGGGGAATTTGCCAAATCTTTCAACTTGGCGACCACGTGAGGTGGGACACTAAAATTACACTAGCACACAAACTTAATGCAGACAGGGAAAAGCAACGAGCCTTACAGTAGCTCTTGCGAAAAATATGGAACGATAAGGAATACTTGATGAAAAGCGAGAATGTTAGGGGCTGGATAGAAAAATGTCAGATACACAAACGTCAGAAGTACGTTCAAAGGTTAGACCCCTTGATAATTTGAGTATTCCCACACATGCAATCCAGTGTGAATCGTCCCTTGACCGACGTGGTCAGCACGCTTGCTTAGTGTGGTCATTAAATGTGAATACACCATGATAACCTGTATAGGCAAATGAATCGGAGTCAGCATTTTTTACAGAGTCAAACTCATCTTTGCGGAAAGAGTATGTACGAAAAAGATGATTTAATAGAGGTACGTTGGCTTCAAATTTTGCTAACATAAGTACTCGTGTCTGGGTCCTTCAAGTGTCGCGTGATTAAAAAAATGTCTTCACAGTCATCATCCTTGAAATCACAAGGAATCAGAATAAATTCAGTTCTACAAGGGAACTTACAAGCATTAGACTTCGCCACTTGAAGGCATATTTGTAACACGAAACGGAGAAACAGAGACAGTGGCACTAGAGCGCCTGTAAGGTTCGTCATGTAAAATTAGGTGTGCATGACCTGGGAAGATGGCCACATGCTCTGTTGGACGCGTAGGATTTGCTGGAATTTCCACGTGGAGAGAAGGTGGCTTGCCATTGGACAATAACAACTACCAATTGCATTGCGGAACCAGCTAGACAACCAGTGGTGCTTTTGATATCGGCCTTTGAGCTTCTTGTTCCAAGTGTGTAACAGAACAAATGGTGTTGTCTCAATTCGTAAGTTCTGCTGAATATTATATCGCAACACATCAATAAAGTTGTCCGCATAAACATGTGGCAAGCGTTTATCCTATTTCTTTGAAGCAGTCTGGTTAGTTAAGTAAATTCAAGATCTTTGAACCAAATTCAGTAAAAGAGCAATATGCTTAAAATCAAGGCTGTCTCATTCTGGTTACTTTTACTCACATTCGTGTAGATTTAGCCTACATGACAATTCAGGCCCATCCACTCACAACGCCACCAGACAATGACTCTATTGTAGTGTTTTAATGGTAAAGTGACAATTGTACATTATACCCTCATACGGCATTAGCAGAGACTTTGTAAATTAACCAACCTTCCAGAATGGAGCGCAGCAATTTGCAGAAACGGACAACGCAGACGATGTAAAGATCCAAGGTCTGGCGAATAGGACGGGTGCTGCTGGATGATTTCCTATCTCAAGTCACTGTGCTTTTACAGTGTGTGTTGAGAGCCATGTGAAATATGATGTCTTTTCGATTGACTAAATTTGCACTTTTTTGTAGTTAGACATAAAGATGGGTGAATAACTCACTGTTCTTCTACGCCAACACTGTTTGTCCAAGTGGAAGAAGCTCGAAATAGCATCATTCGACACAATTCTTCAAGGATACACAATGCCAGACGATTCAGACTTTGCTACGGATGCTGCGATTTCACTATCATGCTCCCAGCTTCATTTACCTATTAGACTGTTATCCACACATCATGTTATATCTCGTCTTATGGCTTGATTCAGGAAGTATTCATTGTGTATATGAATAAGGAAATAAGTAGCCTATTTTTGCATTCAGTCAACTTATGCGGGGCTCGCAAATCTAGTTTCGAAGTGTGTCCAAGTTGCTTGAAATGGCGAAATGCAACCCAAGTGTCAGCATTTAGTAACCTAGCAATCAATCCAGTAGTTATCCATGGAGTTGTACTTATTATTAAGTCCGCTGAAGTACTGGGCATGTGGACTTGAACCACGCCGGGGTCTCGGTGTTGAAGTTGGCCCAAAAACGCTACTCTTATCACCAAATAAACTAAGAAGATTGTGGAGATCGGAGACGGGCGGTATTTCGATAGCTTAAACTGGTTGCGTCGTTCTCATCGGCTTGCACTCTAAGGTAGGGCATGACTAATGGGGTTGGTTGCACATTCGATGTGGGCACATGTGTTGAAAGCGCAAATAGCTGAACAGCCAGATGGGTAAAGCGGGTAGCGCGGGTGGTACATGCCCGGGGATGTATGAACAGGCAGTCCTACATGACCGACGGGCATGCTCTGCAGAGGCCACTCACTACTAGCCGTTACCGATGCAGGAAGATGCCTTGGAGGAAATTTTAACTTGGACCAAATTTGCCATTTTGAACCCGACTGACTACCCTTGAAGCTAAAGCATAAAGCAATCAAACATCTTAAATATTTCTTGTTGCGACACCCGTTTCCACTAAACATCATGCGCGCTTATGTCATCTGTCGAAATCGGGCACCAACATTGCTGATCTTCCAATGCTATTTGAAACGTCCCCTGTCTACTTGGTGGTTTGCAAGAGCGATTTCACAAGTGTCAGGTGAGTAATGGCGAAAGCGTTAGTTTTATTGCAAACGAAACTTCCCTTAAACATGAAGGCAGTGAATGCCTTTGTGTAAAAGGATCGCAGGAGTTTGTGAATGCAAATAAAATGTCCCAGTCTTTGTTTGTGTAACTACAAATCATTGGCAGCATGCCTGCTTGACCACTTCATATATACTTACATCAATCGCTTTGCTCATTGTTGTTGCAACGCTCTGCAAATATAAGCCTTATCTGGGAGATATTTTGAAAAACTCTCGTGGATCACAAAAACCAG